CAACATGGTCGACCCGAGTTCAATTCCTCCGCCCCTCTCAGAGAGCCCGGCAAGCTTCCGAGAGCATCTCGCCCACACAGCAAAGCCTGGCAAGCTCCCCGTGACGTATTCGATATGCCAAACACAGTAACAAGTCTCACAATGTTACTGGGCCCGCTCGAGCAAATCGATGAACAATGGGAGGACAGTTGTCTTGACAGTTGTATTATATTTATATTCATTATATAATAAATGAATGCCCTTGAATATGTAGTAGTGTAACCTAGGTAGACCAAGATCATCAGGTGCCTGTCCGAAGAATGTTGTTCTTCTCCTTTTAATGATTTTCGGTTCTAAGCAATAAATTCTGTTCATGGAGGACAGTTGAGGCTCTGAGTCCCCGAGGCTGTTTGCCCCCGACCCCCTGCTTTTTCTCTCTTATTTCTGTCTCATGGTGCCCCTACTTTGGGCCTGTTCACCCAAGACTGGTCCCTGGCTTGTTAGCATTCTAGGCCTGGTGATACCTTGTCTCTTTATAAAATCAGGGAAAATTTGTTTAAACTCTAGCAAAAGATTTAAGTTAGGTGGCAAAAAGAATATGTTCTGACAAGAAGTGTAATATGAACATTGATAAAATGTGTGGGTTTCTAAATTCCAAGTGTAGACTTTTGATGGAATGAACCCATTCACTGGCGCTGGGCCAAAGCTGAGTCTTGTTTTCAAAATCTGGAGGAGGTTTTCAGATTCTGTTGCCATTCGGTTTTCTACTTTGAGAATGTCACTTTTGTGATGGTCTTTTCTTTGGAAGACAGCAAAGCAAAGCAAAACAAAGCACGAAACAAAAAAATCTTTCTCACTATGATTCTTCAGAATCAATAGCTGTTTCGTGATGGAATTATTCAATCCTGTTCTCTCAGTGGAATGGGTAGTTAAGGAAAGGGGTCCTAAGCAAATATGGATAATTCCAGGTTGAAAAGTCAAATTTCCTTGGAGTTATAGAGAAGCAAATCCTTTAGACTATTTTCTCTTCACTTGTCATATCTTGACCCTCCAATTCTCCAGAAAGTGACACATCTCTTTTTTTTTTCCTTTTAAATTTTTATTAGTGAAACACCATGAGGTACAGTTGTGTATTTACAAATTATTGTGCTTGTGTTTCAATTATACAATGGTCAAACACCCATCCCTCCACCAGTGCCCATTCTCCACCACCAGTGATCCCAGTATCCCTCCCACCCGCCATTCCCCCATACCACTCTGCCTCTGAGTGACACATCTCTTTCCTAGGATGATCTGTATAGATAGAAAACCTCAATTTCTATAGACTGAGAGTAGAAGGGTCTCTAAGGAAAGACCCCATTCCCTTTATCCATAGATATCACCACCTGTGAGATTTTATGACTTATGCAGTGACATGTAGAACCAAACTTCTTGAGTAACGGAAGCTGAATATTTTGTAAGGATTTAAAAAATTTTACTTGATTCTATATTGTTCTCTTCATGACATGTTCTCTACAATAAAAAAGTAAAACTACAAATAAATTGATTCTAAATTTGCTCTTCTTATACTGTGGATTAAGAAAACCATAAAATAGTCATAAAATTTTCCTGCTGTGTAGTCAACACCATGCCATCCAATAACCTCAGTAAAGCAAATTGGTACTAACTATGAGGTGCCAAAGTAAATGTCTGTATGTTCTATCTTTTCCATTCAGTTAGGCCATTGGAAGAGATCTTGAAATTCCTTGAAATCTGAACATAAGGAAAAAAATTCATTAAAAATAGGATCAGGTTGCTTCCTCAATAGCCCAAATAGTGTCTGAACTATTAAGAAAAATCTGTTGTGTTGCCAAAGACAATATTACTTGAGATAGTTTATTCAAAGCTTTCAACCAACTGACCACAATGTGGAGTTTAAACAGTTCATGTTTAAGACTTGGTTTGACTTTCAACAAAGGTGCCAGGAATATAAATAGGGCAAGGACAGTCTCATCAATAAATGGTGGTGACCAAACCGACCATGTCAATGCAGAAGAATGAAATTAAACCCTCATCTCATTCCATATTAAAAAATCAACTTGAAGTGGGTTAAAATACTAAAGTACAAGAACTGAAACTATAAAATAACTAGAAGAAAACATGTAACAAGCCTCTGGGGGGCTGGAGCGATAGCACAGTGGTAGGGTGTTTGCCTTGCATGCAGCCAACATGGCCGACCCGAGTTCGATTCCTCCGCCCCTCTCAGAGAGCCCGGCAAGCTACCGAGAGTATCTGGCCTGCACGGCAGAGCCTGGCAAGCTCCCCGTGATGTATTCGATATGCCAAACACAGTAACAACAAAGTCTCCAATGGAGACGTTACTGGGCCCGCTCGAACAAATCGATGAACAACGGGAGGACAGTGACAGTGGACAGTGACCCTAAGGAAGGAACTAACTCTTCTTACCTGTTGGAATTGCCATCAAGGAAGGACATAGAGAGAAAGGAATGTTTAGGTACTGCCGGTGAAAAGTGCAGTAGATAGCCAATTGTGAAAAACAGGACATTCTTCAAAAAACATTGACCTACCACATGATCCCACTACTTACTATAATATTCAGAGGATATGAAATCATTATCTCTGGGAGATGCCTGTATTTCCTTGTTCATCACAGCATTATTCACAGGAGACAAAGTATGAATCAACTTTGAGTGTTTCAGTAGATGAGTGGGACAAGAAAATGTGTATATACAACTCCTCTAGATGGCATAGTAGGAGAATCTGCTGACTTGGATAGCCGATAACAATTCAACATTAGGTCAGTTTTTATAAATGGTGGCAGAACAGTTCTTACTAGAAAATAAGCAAGAGAAACTGGATCCCCGGATAATCAGTGAGGCTGAAGAAAATACAACGTGTAGAAGTTTAGAAACAAATCAACATAGTAACTAACCCAACACATTCCAAAGCATTCTTTTATTGTAGCTTATGCTTTAATTCTGGGATTCAATTTTTTGGGCTCTAAACTAGACTTAGGTTACTTCCTTTAATGGGGACTTGTGGAATTTGTTGTGTACTAACAAAAATAAAAATAAAATTTGCATTAATAAAAAAGAAAAGTGTGAATATATACTATATATGCACACATTTATACAATGGAATATTATTTAGATTCAAAAACAGAAAGACATCCTGTCAATTGTGATGGCACGGATGAACTAGAAAACATCATTCTTACTGAAATACGCTGGGACAGAAAGACATGGGGAATCATGTCAGTTCCAGGTAGAATCTATAAAGAATCAACTGAATCAAAGCAACTAGTAGAAAGCATCTAACTGTGGTTTCTAGGAGCAGAGAGTAGAGACAGTTGGGGAAATATTGGCCAAAGGATGCGAAGTTACAGTTCTGTAGTGTGAATGAGTCTAGATATCTGCTGTAGAGTTAGTAATATTATATCGGATAATGAAAATTTGCCCGAAAAGCATATTTTAAATGTTCCCATTCTATACAAAATTGGTAACTATACAAGGAAAAATGCTAATTTACTTCAGTGTAATAATCATGTCACTGTGGATTAATAGCAAATCACGGCACCTTACAGATAAATACTTTTTACTTAGAATATAATTCTCTTCTCCCTTCTTCACTGTACTAGGCTTCATCTCCTCCCCCTCCTTCTTTATACTGTCATTGTTTCTATAGGTGTGACATGAAGCAAGGGTATAATCTTTTTTTTTTTTTTTGCTTTTTTTTTTGGGGGGGTCACACCCAGCAATGCACAGGGGTTACTCCTGGCTCATGCACTCAGGAATTACCCCTGACGGTGCCTGGGGGACCATATGGGATGCTGGGAATCGAACCCTGGTCAGCCGCGTGCAAGGCAAACGCCCTACCCACTGTGCTATCACTCCAGCCCACAAGGGTATAATCTTGAAAGTAAATCCTTCTATTGTTTTTAATTTTAAGGTGTGATTTATGAAGGGAGCACATTCATTTAGTTTTTTCAAAAGAGGGATATACTCTCTTGTTCTGTTTCCTCTCCGTGATGAGTTTGTGACTCAAAAGGTACAACAGAGACTGAGGCAGTAGCTCAAGTAGAATATGCCTTGTATGTGTGGGGCTCAGAGTTTAAGTGTTACATTCCCATCCCCCGCTCCATCAAGGCTCAGCACCACCAGAGGTGGCCTTTAAAAAAGTCATAATAACGAAGTCACAAAATTTACATACAAGTGGTACTACATGGAAAGTATCATGTTAAGCGAAATGACTCAGAAAGAAAGGGATAGACATAGAAAGATTGCATTCATCTGGAGAACATAAAGCAACAAAATAGGAAACTAACACCCAAGAATGGCCGAGATTAGTACCAGGAATTCTACTCCATGACTTGGAGGCCAACCACACATGCTAGGGGAAAAGGGAGCTCAGATAGAGAAGGGAACACCAACTAAAAGTGTTGGGAGGATCCTCCCAGGATGGGAGAAGCATGCTGAAAGTAGACTATAGACCAAACATGATTGCCACTCAATGCCTCTTTTGCAAACCACAACACCCAAAAGGAAGAGAGAGAACAGAGGGGAATGCCCTGCCACAGAGACAGGGATGGGGGGGATGGGGGGTGGGAGAGATACTGGGATCCGTGGTGGTGGGAAGTGGGCACCGGTGGAGGGATGGTATTTGATCATTGTATAATTGAAACCCAAGCACAAAAATTGTACCTCATGATGTCTCACTATTAAAATTTTTTTTAATAAAAAAAAGTCATAATAAAAAAACCCTTATCTTTCCTGTAAAGTGATCTGTGTGTGTGATATCCTGGTTTTTTTTTTTTTTTTTTGTTGTTGTTGTTTGTTTTGTTGTTTTGTTTTTTTCTCTGATGGGGTAAATGTAATTTTTCAGATGAGATCATTTCCATGTTCTGGCATTTTTTTCCCTCAGTGTGGAAAGATACATCCTCTTGAAAACTCTTACTGATTCTCGGAGTGAACATGACTGATTGGGGGGATCAGTTTCTGAATTTCCCTGTCTTTTTATTCCAGATACATTTCATATTGCTCTTTAGTCGACAAGGAAAATTGCGGCTGCAGAAGTGGTACACGACACTCCCTGACAAAGAAAGGAAGAAGATCACCCGGGAAATTGTGCAGATCATTCTCTCCCGGGGCCAGAAGACAAGCAGTTTTGTTGACTGGAAGGAACTGAAACTTGTATATAAAAGGTGTGAGTGACTTCAAGAGAACTGACTGGTTTTCGGGTTTGTTAACTGTGGGATGTTTTAGATGATATTACCGAGTCCTATCATTTGTCATTCTTTGAAGACTGAACTCTAGAATTTGTACTTACAAATGAACTAAGAAAGAACTCCATTTCTTTTTTTTTTAAATTAAGGATTTTTTTTTTTTTTTTTGCCACGTGTGGTGGTGCTCAGGGCTTACTCCTGGCTCTGCATTCAGGGATAACTCCTTACAGTGTTCAGGGGATCATATGGGATGCCAGGAATTGAACTCAGTTGCACATGTGTGCAGGCAAACCTTCTCCTACTGTACTGTCGCTCTGGCCCCAAATTAAGATTTTTTTGGTTATTCAGACACTGTGAATTATGTAGTTGTTTACAGTAGGTTTTCATGCATATAATGTTCCCATCTCCAATCCCACCGTCTCGTGTCCCCATCCCTCCAACACTGACCCCAAATCCCCTTCTTCTCCCCCTTCCTGATCTCTTGACAAGTACATTTTAATTATGATCCGTTGTCATCTGAGGCCCATGCTAATAGTGGCGCTGGTTCTAGAGGTTTAGTTACAGACAAGCACTTTGTCTTTCAGCCGCAGGAATAACATACCTAGGAATTGGGAGGTAGCAAAGAACTATTTCTTGAAAGACAGTCCGTGTGCCAGGATGGATTCTGGACACTTAATTTACATACTGATCATGTATGCATGCATGCAAGAAATAGCTGAGGAGCTTGTGATTTTTCAGTGACTGTGGGTGCAGTGGTAAGCAAGTCAAAGAACATTCTCGCTTGCACAAAGCTTATATTAAAGTAAATGTGTTCAGTAAAAAATTAAGTAAATGTCAGGACTGGAGAGAGAGTATATTGGGCAGGACTCTTGCCTTGCTCGCCTTGCACAGGACCGATCTGGGTTCTCCCCCCAGCACCCCATGTGGTCCCCTAAGCATCATAGGAGTGGTCCCTGACTGCAGACACCGCAGGCTAAGTCCTTATCCCCCAATAAGGAAATAACTCCACTTAGCAACAAATTCTGTGGTGAGGAATGCAAATGATGTTTACAGAAAAGTAAACAGCTCTTAGGTTCTTATTATTTCTCATCTTGGCAGATGAGGAAACTTAAGTCATGGAGAGTTTAAGTAATCAACCTTTAATTAAGTGCATGGTAATTGGCAGTACTGGGATTTTCCTGGCATTAAAGCCAATATATAATTTTTTTCTTTTCTGCACCTGCTTATCTTGCTAAGTTCACACTAGAAAGGAATCTCAATTTATAGTTGAGGAAACGGAGGTTCCCAGAGTAGCATTGTCACAAAGATTCAGAGGACCAGTGCCAAAGCCAGGACCAGAATACAGCTGACTGACCCTGCCTCTAACATTGTCACCCAACCCTGTGACTTCCAGGAGGAAAACTTCCATGAAAGGCTCTGGCAGGGCAGGTTGTTTATAAAACCTGAAAGCGAGAACAGAGGTAACCTCTGCGGACAGTGGAGTGAATTACCAATTCCTGAACCAGGCCACTTCTGCTCAGCCCCAGGCTTTATTATGGTAGCATCCCGGAACACATATGGGAATGCCTTTGCCTAATGTGCAACCGGAAGGGCGAGGCATAGCCCAGGAACCACTTGCCCACAGAGAGACTTGACCCTCCCTGACTGCCTACTGCTTCTCTAAAATCACTGGGTCCTTTTGCAGTTGAAACAGTTGTGTGTGTGTGTGTACACACACACATATACACACTAGTTTATATTGTATATATTTTATATATATTAAATATATGTATTTCACAATTGAAATTATTGTATATTCAATTGTTTATACTCTGTAGCATTGTAGCACCGTCCTCCTGTTGTTCATCGATTTACTCTAATAGGCACCATTAACATCTCCATTGTGAGACTTCTTGTTACTGTTTTTGGCATATCCAGTACATCATGGGGAGCTTGCCAGGCTCTGCCGTGTGGGCAGGATACTCTTGGTAGCTTGCCGGGCTCTCCGAGAGGAGCGGAGGAATTGAACCTGGTCAGCCGCATGTAAGGCAAACACCCTACCCTCTGTGCTATCACTCCGGCCCCAGTTGTTTCATATATGTACATATAATACTATTTTATATATATAAAAAAGTTTTATATATACATACACACATATATATGTACATATAAACAGATGTGAGTAGATCACAGCAGATCTTTACAGCTGCTAGGTAGAACAGAGTGAACAAAACAGGTAAGTACTTGCCTTTGGGAAGCCACTGAAACTCTGATGGGGGAAGTTAAAGCAGACAAGGATATTCAGTCTGGTCAGAGAGGTGAGGTTCCCTGAAAGAAGTGACAGCTAAACTCAGGACTAAAGAGGAGAAGCGAGAGGTACACACACTGGGTTGGGGCTGGAAGTGAAGGCAGGACTCTGGGACAGTATGAAGTGAGAGGAGTTCTGGGGAGCCCCCAACACCCTGGGACAGGACTTTGGAGCTAGGATCAGAAAGGACACGGGATTCAGCAAGCGTCTGTTTTCCACTGCCCCCTGACAATAGCTCTTCAAGGTCTAGTTTTGTTGAGGACCATTTTCTTGCATAACAATCCAATCACCATTACCTGAGAATTTCTGTGTATTCTTTTATATTTGGAGAAGGATGTTGGCTGTGATGAGTGATCATATGACTTGTATATTGGAGGTGATAAGTGATCACGTGACCCTGAGATTTGGAGAGGGATATTGGGTGTGATGAGTGACACTGATATTTGGAGGGGGATATTCGGGTGTGATGTGTGATCACGTAACCTTGATATTTGAAGGGGAATATTGGGTGTGATGAGTGATCATGTGACTCTGATATTTGGAGGGGGACATTGTGTGTAATGAGTGATTGTGACAGTATCATGACTTTAGTGGTGAGAATCTCTGAAAAGGAGGTGGTGGGACTAACTGCATGTTTACTGGGATGGTGTGTGTGTGTGTGTGTGTGTGTGTGTGTGTGTGTGTGTGTGTGTTTGTGTGTGTGTGAAACTCATCTTTGGGTTTAACATCATCGTATTCCACTTTTTTCCCCCTTTCCAGGTATGCTAGTTTATATTTTTGCTGTGCAGTAGAAAATCAGGACAATGAGCTCTTGGCACTAGAGATTGTGCATCGGTATGTGGAGTTGCTGGACAAGTACTTTGGAAATGTAAGTGTTGTTCTGGAGTGCTAGAATTAGTCCTCATTCCCTCCTCAACGGGCTTCCTTCTCCTGTCCAAGATTTGGATTGCTTTTGTGCCAAGAATCGGAACATAAAATCTCGTTCCCCTTTTCTCCCTCCTGCAATGAAAGATGCGAGGATTCCAAGAGGGAGGTCTGGAGTCTCTGCCCTTGGCCGACAGCCACTCTGCAGACTTGGCCCATGAACTTGACTTTCACTGGGAGGGTTCCCAAGTCTTCATTGGCTTTCTTCTGTCTCCTGTCTGCACTGGTTTGTTTATGTATCCCCTTGTTGAACATGAAGATTCAAGGGTTATTGTATTCTTGACTTTTTTGTTTGGTTGGTTTTTTTCTTTTGGTTTTTGGGTCACACCAGGTGGTGTTTAGGGCTTCCTGGCTCTATGAGTAGGAATCACACTTAGTGGGCCTGGTGGACCATATGGGATGCCAGGGATCAAACTCGTGTCAGCTGTGTGCACGGCAGGTGCCCTACCCACTGAACTATTGCTCTGCCTCTTGAACTTTTAAAAACTTTAAGTAATATTGGTTCTATCTCCTTATAATAGTATGTATAAGCTATTTTTCATATGTAAAGCTTTATAATCTAACATCTGCTTTTGCTACCCAATGATCCCCAGCAAAGGTCTAGTTTCCACCGACCATTATATAATAAATCCTTTTATCTCATTTGGCCCCATGACCCCATTCTCTTCTGGTGGCCAACATTTTGTCATCCTGATGTTTCTTTTTCTTCTGCCTATCAGGATTGCAGCTTATATTTTAACATGTACTACATACACTGCATTATGTTCCCCACCAGTGTTTCATTTGCTATCAATATCATACAGTTAACCCCCTTTTAACATTCCCTTCTTTCCCCCTTTCTCTCTGGTGACTTCATCTTGTCGTCAGTATCAAACACAAAACAAACCAACACTATCCTCTCGTTGTTCATCGATTTGCTCGAGTGGGCCCAGTAACATCTCCATTTTGAGACTTGTTGTTACCATGTTTGGGATATTGAATATGTCACAGGTAGCTTGCCAAGCTTTGCCGTGTGGGCGAGATACTCTCGGTAGCTTGCTGGGCTCTCTGAGAGGGGCAGAGGAATCGAACCTGGCTTGGCTGGGCTGGCTGTGTGCAAGGCAAACACCCTACCACTGTGCTTTCACTCCAGCCCATCAATATCAAGGGATTTTTTTTTTCCTTCTTAGTACTGTAAGTGTTCTTCTTTTTTTTTTTTTTTTTTGCTTTTTGGGTCACACCTGGCGATGTACAGGGGTTACTCCTGGCTCTGCACTCAGGAGTTACTCCTGACAGTGCTCAGGGGATCATATGGGATGCTGGGAATGGAACCCGGGTCGGCCGCGTGCAAGGCAAATGCCCTACCTGCTGTGCTATCTCTCCAGCCCCCTATAAGTGTTCTTTACCAATAATTATACACACACACACACACACACACACACACACACACACCATCCAACCAAGAACTGGAGAAGAGATGGCACAGTGAGGAAGGGCTGGTGACCCAGGTTCATTTCTAGGCTCATTTTGTCCCCTGATCCTGCCAGGAGTGACCCCTGAACACTGAACCAAGAGTAACCCAGACTGGTATAGCCCAGATTCCCCACACAACCAGAAAACCAGCAGATACACAGTGTCCCAATTATTTTTATCCACGTGGCTATTCAATGGCCATGTCTTTACTACAACGTCCTGTTCCTTAGAAGGTGGCCTGATCCTTGGAACTCATTCTCCCTGCCTTGGTTGTCACTGTGGGTTCTACCTCTGTGGTCTAGGGAAATAAGAAAGTTACCATTGGCCCCACATTGTAGTAGTCCAGGCCAGAGAACCACTCCTAAACCTCCATCTATTCTTATCTCTCCGTGGTGCTGGGAGCTTGGTTATCACAACCCCTGACATTTGCTCCTCTCTCCTGCCCAGGCTCTGGTTTCTGCTGATTTTCCACCCTGGGCTCTCCATCCTTCAGTTCTCCTTCCTTCCTGCCCTCTTTGCACTCTTGTGCGACATGACTTTCTGTCCTGAAATCTGTATCCAGGTCACTCTGGGTCACCTTGCTGAGAAAAGGTTTTTGCTGAGCATCTTGTAGCCATCTTAGTCTTAACAGCTCCCAAGAACCTTCTTTTCCGAAGTCCCATTCTGTGTTGTGATGAATGGACTCTGCCCCGGATCCTTTCGTGCCAAGGCAATGCTGCTCTCCTCACCTCCTTCCTGCACTCAAGGCCAATTCTGTTGATTCAAATGGGACTGAACTGCCTCTCCGTTCACCTGGTACCAGCGTAGCATCACTTGGGGTTGTTGTCCTGCGGTTTCTGCCTCGGGGTTGGGCTCTGCCTTCTTCCCTATTCCTAAATCATCATCTCCCTAAGTCATCATCTTCCTTACGAAGCAGATTTTAGGTGGGTACCTTCCCTTCTCTTTGCTCTTCATCTTCCCTGATGGAAACATTTCTAACTTCTTCTCATGACATTGAAGTGTTGTCAGCCTTGACTCCAGCCTTCCTGCTTTCTCTCCTCATGTGGCTGCTGCTCCAGCATCATGGTTCCGACCTGAACTCTCCTTACCTGATGCAGGATTGACTTGACAAGTGAATGACAAGCCGCTTGAGGTCTGTTTTCACAACATCTGTAACAGGCTTTGGACCAGGTTATAACAAATATTCCAGAAACTTGAGAGTTTATGGGCCTCGAGAAAAAAAAAAAACAACACCAAAATTTAGATTTAGATTTGGGAAACATTTTCTTGTCAGTAACAGTCTATTCCTTATTCCCTTCGCTCCAAAAATTTTTTTACAAAGAGTTAAAAGAGAATTTGCTTTCAGAAGTTTCCCATTTGCACTGTGGCCCTGTTTTTTTTTTTTTAATTTTTTAAAAAATTTTTATCCAGGTTTTGGGTCACACTTCACACAAGGATGAGTACTCAAAAGGTTTCTGAAACCATTTTCCCTCCCTCTCTTTCCAGCTTCCCTCCTAATTCCTGTTTTTTCCCCTTTGTATATAGTTTCATCAGATCTAAATATGTTGACATATGAAGACCAGGCAGACCAGTTTCTTTATCTTTTTTCTGTTTCACTGTATTTTCATTTTAAAATATCTTCAACCCTGAAATGGCTTAATTTTTATGTTTTCTAGTATTCAAATGAATTCTGACATTCTGCTACTTTCTTTTAAGATAAATTGCCCTGCAAAGGCCTGGAAGAGTTCCTGAAGTCTAAGCTTTTTCGTAACCTACCTCCTGCCTCTGATTGCTGTCTTCCGTGTTTGCTTGGAGGGTTATCCTGGGTTAATCCAGCTGTGGTCGTAAAAATCACAACCAAATTTTGATCTCAGTCTTATCTGAGTAAATTTCAGAAATTTCAGAATACTTTGCTTTCTAAGGAGAATTTAATTCACCTTCACCCATGCGAAACCCAGTCAAAGCATCGAAGACTCGGAATGAATTCCTATTTCCTTAACATTAATTTTTCATCCTATTTTGGCATACCTTTCAATGCTCCGTCTTTATCTTCAGCCAAAATTTAATTCACTAAAAAATTCAATGAATCTTTCATTAAGCTAAGAGCAGCTAAGAGCAATTCAAGGCTGTTTGCCCAGTAGGTATTCAGTTCTTATTAATTAGCAGCAACGAGCAAAGGCTTCCAGAACTAAATTCTCTTTTATATTATCTCAGGAAGAATATATTTCTGTTTGGTTTTATTTTCCTCTTTACTCAATGCTGAAGGTTTCCTTGGATTCTGCCCTTGACTATTCAAGAAAAAAATTCATACTGAGCCCCTATTGCCCTGGACAGTATCACCTTCCTATGAAAGATTAATCACAATCTCTTGCTACTAATTTAAGTTATGTAACTTTTTTTTTAGCACTTTTCAATTCCAAGGAGATTTTTGAGGATTAACTAGTTAATCTTTCGATCTTCAGTAAGTAGCATTAACCCCAATTTTTAGAGGCTAAAAGGAAATGCCTCAAAGTTTCTGAGTAGATAAGGGTCAGTCTGAGGGTTTCAGCTCCGGTGGATTTTCCCATTACGGATGGTGTGTCTGTCTGTACTGATACACTTGGCAGGGGGCTGTTGCTGAACCAGCGAGGTTTTGATCTAGATTTAGGGAATTTTCTCGTTGGATGTAGAAGAACATAGAATCTGGCTGGATCCTGGTATCAGCTCACTCACTAACCCCTTCACTGGGTTCTTTGTAGATATCTGTTTGATTGTAAGAAACTAGGACACCGCCCTCGAAAGACTACTAATTGGAATATTTAATCAAGAGGAACATTTACATTGATGACTTCATGAGACTGTTGTGAGGATCAGAAAGTATAAAATTAAATGCCATTTTCTATGTACCTTGCATAATGAGAACTATTTTATAGGTGGTTTTATACATTCATGGTATACAATTGGAATTTTTTTGGATTTACTTTAGGACAGAATTCAGTGAGGGAAATTTCCTCTTAGACTCTAGCTAGGAAGATTTGGGTGTTACAGTGCCAGCAATAAGCACATAATGTGTATTCTGCATTCTGCTATAAAAGGAGATACTCAAGGGATCATAAAGATGGTACAGAGGGAAGGCACTTGCCTTGCATGTGGCTGACCTGGGTTCGATCCCCAGCACCCTATATATCATCCCCGGAGCCTTGCCAGGAGTGACCATTGAGCACAGAGCCAGGAGTAAGTCTGAGCACAACTGAGTGTGGTCCCCTCCAGAAAAAAACGAAACAAAACAAAACAAAACAAAAAAACAACTAAATTAAAGTCAGAGCCAGACTCAAACCAAACCATAGTAAAACACAAGGCCAGGAGATAATTAAAAGATACAAATGATTATGGTGCTTACCTTTCCTAAGCTTTTTTACAGAATACAGAGGTAAGAGAATACTGTAAAGCACTCAGAAATTGCTATGCATGCATCCTCAGATGGATGCTGTCCTCTGAACCTCAGGGCACCTTTCTGGTGTTCTGAAACAGTGC